CGACTCACAGCCTCGCCGCGTCCCGCCGTCTCAGGGAGACAATTTGGACCAATCCATGAACTTAACGTAAGGGCTCCGCGGATTGGGTCCATTTGGGTATGGGCACGTCACTGTACCCAGGAAGAAAAAGAGAAATGTCCAACGAGGCGTTCTGGGGCAGCATGGACAGGTCTTTTCTGTGTTAGAGTTTTACTCTCTACAGGGTGTACTTTGAGGGTTTGTGACTCTGCAGACCGTTCACATGCAGAAGCTACATAACACACAAGGGGACGGGTAATAACCGGAAAAGCATGACATGGGACCTTTAATAAATCCTGATGAAAACCTTCAGGGCAAAAGGAGTCACTGAACGGTTTTAAAGTATTAAAAAAAGTATAATATTGAAATAATTACAATGACCATCTTTAGAATACTCCTTTTGTAAATCTACATATAATAACAAAAAGATCATTAAAAACATGTTTTAAAATACATATTCTCATTGACTTGCACTAATCCTTGAGGTAACATGTTCTACATCTTGGCAGCTGAAATAAACCAGAGTGTGTTTCTTTGTGTTCCCATTATATAAAACATTAGTCACAGCCCTGTGTCGACTATTAAAGAGACTTGTTCATGCAGAACACACACTGATCACATCCAAAGAAATATAACGTTCTTCCTCCAGACTCCGACAGCTCTCAATGCCAGCGTGGGTTTTCATAATGATCATTCATTGCTTCATTTGCATTATGTCATAATGCCAACCATCCATGTTTAATGAAGGTTGATTAATTATACATGGATAGGACCACCTGCATGAATACAGAATAAAAAGCTGCTCAAAGCCTCCATTATGCTGAGAGAGAGAGAGAGAGAGAGAGAGAGAGAGAGAGAGAGAGAGAGAGAGAGAGGGAGAGAGAGAGAGAGAGAGAGAGAGAGAGAGAGGGAGAGAGAGGGAGAGAGAGAGAGAGACGTTTTCACAGAACGTCATGCTGTTCTTTACAAAGTTTATATTCAGCAGACTTTATTAGACCCACAGCGGGGACATGTACAGTTACACAGAGGGGTGAAAAGTACTCAGATCTGGTACTTTAGTAAAAGTAGAAGTACTCAGATCTTGTGCTTGAGTAAAAGTCGAAGTACTCAGATCTTGTACTTGAGTAAAAGTAGAAGTACCATAGTGTAGGAATACTCTGTTACAGTAAAAGTCCTGCATTCAAAATGTTCCTCAAGTGAAAGTAGAAAAGTATTATCATCAAAATATAGTGAAAGTAGCGACAGTAAAAGTAGTCATTGTGCAGATTGGTCCATTTCAGAATAATATATATGATATGTTTTATAATGATTGATCATGAAAGTGTTCTCAAAGCTGGTAAAGGTGCAGCTAGTTTGAATGACTTTGTATACTGCAGGGTAGCTTGTGGATTTACTCCAGGTGGAACTAAAGTCTGATTTAACACTTGATTATATTTCACATCATTCATCCACATCTGTGAAGTAACTAAAGGTATTCAATACATGTAGTGGAGGAAAAGTACACCATGTACCTCTGAACTGTAGTGGAGTAGAAGTACACCATCTACCTCTGAACTGTAGTGGAGTAGAAGTACACAGTAGCATGAAATGGAAATACTCAAGTAAAGTGCAAGTACCTCAAAAATTGTACTTAAGTACAGTACTTGAGTAAATGTACTTAGTTACTTTACACCGCTAGTGTTACAGTAAAATCGGGCATAACAGGTTTAAAAAAAGCTTGCAATAAAAACGAATAAGCTATTAAATATAGGGAAGAAAAGCAATTTAGTGACAGGTAAGATATGAGGGGTTGGGTTACATGACATGCATTTTGATAAAACTCTCAGATCTTTTACTTGCGGGAACACACACTCATATTCAGTCTGTACACACACACACACACACACACACACACACACACACACACACACACACACACACACACACACACACACACACACACACACACACACACACACACACACACACACACACACACACACACACACACACACACACACACACACACTTTAAAGAGCCTCTCTTCACAGTGTGTCCTGAGGGACGCTGTCTGAGGTCTGAATCAAAGTCAAACCCTCTCAGAATATGAAGCAGCTGTCTCAGAAACACACTGCAGGTAATTCAGTATGTCTACATTTCCACACACACACACACACACACACACTGACTGATGCTCCCTCCCTGCCTGTGTGTGTTTCTTTATGTGTCTTCCAGTGGTGCTACACAGTGGTTGAAGATGTACTCAGATCTTTTATTTACATATTTCAAGTATTAATACTACAAGTAAAAGTCATGCATTCAAAGTAACTACTCTCTTACTCACTGCAAAAGTAAAAAGTGCTCACTATGTGGATTAATACATGTTATTGTTTGCCTCTTCAGTATCACATTTAGAATTAAAAGGACTTTCCATTTAAGTGTTAGTGTTTCTTTGTAAGCCAAACTCTTCACTGAAATGACCTGGATCCTTTCTTTATGGATTATCAGACATTGTATAAAAAAAGTTGTGAAGCTGGCACTTACAAAAAGACACACAGGACAAATAAACTGTCAGGAAAAAGAGAGTAAACACATTGATCCGTGTCACTTTAACCTGGCAGCGCTCCATACCTGAGCCTGGGAGCAGAAGTAGAGAAAAGTACAAACATCCAGGTGAAAGCTGGACTGGATAGTCTCGTCTTATTCCACTAGGAAACTAAAACACCAGCGGGGTTACAACAAATATTTTATAAGAAAGAAAGGAAACAGCTGTGAGTAAATTGACTTTTCTTCTCCAGACATATAAGAGGATTTTGTGCAGTGAGTTCAAATGAGAAGGGTAGGAGTATCTACGAAAATGAAAGCACTGTTATTTTGTTATATTGAAAGAAGTCAATGTGTATGTCTTTCATTTAATCTTGAAACAATAAAGAATAAAGAGTTAAGAAGAAGTTCACAAAGGGAGGTGGGCAGGATCCTAAAACACAGGACCTTCACCCAGGGAACACCTGTGTTTGTGTCTAGATGGTGAACTCAATTTGTAAAAAATATCTTTAGATGATTAAAGTTAGAAATTGCCCTCTAAAGGTTGAGGTTCGTAATTGACTTCCAATGGTTAAGGTTAAGTATTAGCCGCGTTCACACCAAGTACTTTGCCGAACTTAGTTCCCAGCACTTAGTTCCCAGCACTTAGTTCCCAGCACTTAGTTCTCAGCACTTAGTTCCCAGCACTTAGTTCCCAGCACTTAGTTCCCAGCACTTAGTTCTCAGCACTTAGTTCCCAGCACTTAGTTCCCAGCACTTAGTTCCCAGCACTTAGTTCCCAGCACTTAGAGCCGATCGCGTTCACACCGGAATAAGTTCCCTGAGGGAAGATTACGCAAATGAGCCGCTGACGTCACTTCGTCTTCTTCTGCTTTGGGTTTACTGGCAGGCCGCAAACAACTTCACGGTGTATACTGCCACCTGGAGTCCCCGGCCGGAAGTCCCCGGAGTTGGGGACTGGCCATGGACTGGACATGGGACTCCAATGGTAAACATTAGGCATTGACCTCCAATGGTTAACGTTAGGCATTGACCTCCAATGGTTAACATTAGGCATTGACCTCCAATGGTTAACATTAGGCATTGACCTCCAGTGGTTAACGTTAGGCATTGACCTCCAATGGTTAACATTAGGCATTGACCTCCAATGGTTAACATTAGGCATTGACCTCCAATGGTTAACATTAGGCATTGACCTCCAATGGTAAACGTTAGGCATTGAGCTCCAGTGGTAAACGTTAGGCATTGACCTCAAGTGGTAAACGTTAGGCATTGACCTCCAGTGGTTAACTTTAGGCATTGACCTCCAGGGGTTAATGTTAGGCATTGACCTCCAGTGGTTAACTTTAGGCGTTGACCTCCAGTGGTTAACTTTAGGCGTTGACCTCCAGTGGTAAACGTTAGGCATTGACCTCCAGTGGTAAACGTTAGGCATTGACCTCCAGTGGTTAACTTTAGGCATTGACCTCCAGTGGTTAACGTTAGGCGTTGACCTCCAGTGGTAAACGTTAGGCATTGACCTCCAATGGTTAACTTTAGGCATTGACCTCCAGTGGTTAACGTTAGGCGTTGACCTCCAGTGGTTAACTTTAGGCATTGACCTCCAGTGGTTAACGTTAGGCGTTGACCTCCAGTGGTAAACGTTAGGCATTGACCTCCAGTGGTTAACTTTAGGCATTGACCTCCAATGGTTAACTTTAGGCGTTGACCTCCAGTGGTTAATGTTAGGCGTTGACCTCCAGTGGTAAACGTTAGGCATTGACCTCCAGTGGTTAACTTTAGGCATTGACCTCCAATGGTTAACTTTAGGCGTTGACCTCCAGTGGTTAACGTTAGGCATTGACCTCCAGTGGTAAACGTTAGGCATTGACCTCCAGTGGTTAACTTTAGGCATTGACCTCCAATGGTTAACTTTAGGCGTTGACCTCCAGTGGTTAACGTTAGGCGTTGACCTCCAGTGGTAAACGTTAGGCATTGACCTCCAGTGGTAAACGGTAACCCAATTACCTTAATTGTTTAAAAGTTAGATATTGACATTTAATTGCCTGAGTTTTGGCCTTGTTTTGCAAATTGAGGGTTTACCATTAGGACAGGACTGACCGTTGTTAGTGTGCCATGTAAATCCAGAAGTCAGAGATAATTTATATTTATAAGTAACGTCACTTCGGTAGTTATTCTTAACTCAAACCACAATCCTTTCCATAACCTAAACAAGTAAACTAACCGAGCAGTTGCGTGTGAAGAGTTTTGAAAATACTGTATGACTTACACTACAAGCATAAATTGGTAAAGTGATCTGGACACAAGAAATACGGAATATATTTTTAAAGATATCTCACAAATCGTTGATTGAGAATACGTTGCTCCCCACCATATAGCTTTTTCTCATACTCTTGTAACATGTTTTCTTTTAAATCTTTCTCACCTCCTTTCTCCTCCTACCTTCCCTCAGCAGGACGATGTTACGAATGCGCTATCGCTACAGGACAATCTGTCTTTCCTTGGCCTTCTTCACCGTTTTCTTCCACCTCCTCCTGGTGCTTGTCTCTCTTCCCATTAACCAGCAGTCCTGTGACCCCCCGCTGACCCCCAGGACCAACATCCTGAGAGAGCTGGCCCACAAAGACCAGTCCTCAGTGGGGAGCGATGGTCCAGCTGAGGCCTCCACTGGGAGACAGGCGTCCAGTAAGGATGCCAGGAAGGATGCCAGGAAGGATGCCAGGAAGGATGCCAGTAAGGATGCCAAAGTATTTGATCACCTCTTAAAGGACAGAGAACATGAAACCATTGGTCGATGTGATTGCTTTTTAATGTTTTATGATACTTTCTTTTATTTGCATATTGACTGGCTAATGTGCCATTTAATTGGTGTTTTACAGCTGTATTCGTCTGCCTGTATTGTTTCATGTTCATTTGTTGTAACTTTGTTCTGCCCTTTGGCCAGGTCGCTCTTGAAGAATATATTTTAATCTCCATGAGACCTGGTTAAATAAAGGATATATATAAAGGTCGTGAGCTAACACTCTCTGACGGGGTTGTGTCTTTGAAAGGAGGTGGATTTGTCCCGATGGACGTGTCCTCGGTCACTGAGCGAGCTCTGGAGTCTGATCAGAGGAAGATGGAGGCTCTTTTTGATCATCCTCTCTACAACATGCCCGTCCCCGTCCCCGAGGAGGACTGGCTGCTGAAAGTCAAACCAAAAGTCCATTCCAGTGACAAGAGCTCCCAGATGTGGTCAGTCGTCTCTACTTTGACAACTCTACTATCACTTTTTAACACGCCTATTTTGTTGAGTTTATGTTCAATTAGTTCAAAATTATCATTTTGGAAATGACGTTATCTTTTGAGCAGAAAGACTGCACTTTAATACTTGTTTCTTAATCGCAATAATGTGTTACCGAAGAAGTTATCGCACATTATTCTTATATATCGTGCAGCCATTCTCTAGTACCACAAAGTTATCAGACTTCCCTCCCGGTTGTGTTTCAGGGTGAGTGCGAATGAGGAGGATAACGAGGACATCCGGTGGAACAGCAGCAGTGACTCTCACCCCCCCTGGCTGCGCTTCCATCTTGGTATTTCCCGCTGGCAGCTGTTCGCTCACCGGGACCAGAACATGGCGGCGCTGACTCAGCAGATCGCCACGCAGAGAGTCGTCAGCGCAGGTGGGACACAAAACTAAATATACATGCTTTATAACACCCATATTCAATTTTTGGAGAATTTTAACTTTTTCTCCGGAATTTAGACTTTGTTTCCGAATTTGTACTTTTCCTCAGATATTTTTTTTTTTTTCCAGATTTCTGACTGAATTTGTACTTTTTCTTAGAATCTTGACTTTTTCTTAGAATTTTTACTTTTCTCCGGAATTTTGACTCTTTTTCCGAATCTTGACTTTTCCTCAAAAAATATATTTTCTCAGATTTCTGACTTGAATGTTGACTTTTTTTCAAAATGTTGACTTTTTTTCAAAATGAAACATTTTGATCTGAACCACATTCAGATCAATATCTCATTTATACGTACAGAGAAGAATACGGTGAATTATAGTGTTAATATCCAAGTTCAAATATACACGAAGACGAACAGCGTGACAAATGATAAATAAACGCTTTAAGGAATAGGCTAGCGCTTAAATCTACGAAACAGCCTACGGAGGAGGTTTAGGTCCACGTGAGAACACATGTTGGGATGTGACCAAAAGTTAAAAAAACGTTTTGAATTTGACTTTAGGTGAATATTATGTCATAATATCCAAGTTCAAGTATACATGAAGACGAACAGCTTTCTGGAATAGGCTAGTGTTGAAATATCAAAAGAACAAAAGCTAATTCTATAAACCAGCCTACGGAAGAGGCTCACCTGAGAACAATATTGTTTTGGAATTTGACTTTAATCTTAGAATTTTAAGAATTTCCAGGTTTTTCTTTATTTCTTACAAAATACATTTACAGATAATTTTTCTAAGAATTCTGACTTTTTTCTCAATATTTTGACTTTTTAAGATTAAAGTCAGAACTGTATTTTATTTCTAACTTTGGCTCACACCCAAAAGAAACAGTTCTCACGTGACCCTAATCCTCTTCCCTAAACCGCCATGTGGGTCATCATAACCACAGGGTTTCACTTAGGGACCATCAATAAATATGAATATGATGTAGGATAATTATAAAGAAATGTGCCCTATGTGGCACATCTTACACACAATTGCTGATGCCTTTTTAAAACATATTTAACTGGAGTTTTTTTTCAATAGCTTCCACGTCATCTGATTCAGTGACTCTGAATACAAACAGGTACTATAGCTATAGCTTCAATTAACCTCTTGAATACATTTGTGTATGAAAAGCTTTTGTAAGACTGCAGCCGGCACAAGAAAGACATTTTCAAAAGGAACAGATCTATCAATTTAACCTAAACTACTTCTAGCCCTAAACCCAAACCTGCTGTGATGAAGGTGTGCATGGGCGGCACCAGAGATTTTCGGTTGGGGGTGCTGTGGGGTAGCTTGACGTTTCATAGAGGTTGCTCAAACATGTAGGGTTTCCCATTAATGTAGCTACCGGGGGCTACAGTGGAATGTTCTACTGCAACACTCCCCACACACACAATACACGCGCGACTGTTACAATGAAGGCTCGATAATCAGCTCACGGCATATAGGTGTAAGCAGGGGTAAAGTGCTATTTTGGGGTGGACCTAACATCCTCTAGGGGTGCCCACACTTTTTCAGATTGGGAGCTACTTTTAAAATGACCAAGTCAAAGTGATCTACCTACAGGGCCCTGTGTGTAGCGAGCGGGGGGGTGGGGGTGCTAGTGGACTGCGAGCAGTAGAAACTGTGGCGCACTTACACTTATTGTGCCGCATTTGCATTTGCATTGGTGTTCGGATCAGGGGAGCACAGGTTCAAACCCCACTGCAGTCAGCATGTCGTTGTGTCCCTGAGACACTTCACCCCAAAGTGCTCCTGTGGGGATTGCCCACAGTATTGAGTATGTAAGCTTTGGATAAAAGCGTTTAACAAGTGACATGTAATGATTCAAAAAACTTTTGAATATTGAATAACAAACCAATGTGGTTTACTTGTTATCCACAGTTTAGCTGCTAAATGTTTTTTAGCAATGCTTTTCTTTGTGCTCCACATATCTAAATGTATAAAGTGTGTTTTCACCTCCGTTCCCTCCTGTTTGCTGCAGTATGGCAGCAGCGGTCAGGATGTGTTTCTCTGAGGGATCCTCCATGTAGTCTGAGAAGCCTTCTGAGGAAACAAGGTCAAACTATTTAGGATAATACAAGAAACAATGTTTAGGCAGTAAATAGAATTTCAATTACATTTCTACTTAAATGTGCAAAAATATTAGAACATCAGTCTTTGTGGCATGCAGGTAATCAACTGTTTAAGCTTTTACCATTAACATGTAGAATGAATGTTGCAAATTACTTGAAATTTTAGCAACTACAATCTATTGTTTACCTCTATGCATTCAGTTTAGCCACAGAGGTCCAGCTAGCATGCTAATTGCTAACGTTATATTATCGTTTTATCCCGGAGGGGAAAACTAGTTTCTAATCCTGAGAGAAACACCTCGCCTGAAACACACGATTAGTGCCATGAGTTAGTGAAGCAAATTACAGAACATTGCACACTTATTCACAAGTCAAAACGTGTTCATAGCGGGCATGGATGAGAATAGCTAGCTAGCTAGATGTTGTTAGCCAGCTTGGACCTAACGTTAGCAAGTTCTACCATGGCTAGCTCGATCTACTGAGCAAATAAAAGTACATCTAAGACCAGTATTGTGCAGATTAAAACAGTGCAGTGCATGTATTTTGTTTTACCTTCGTAGTCGTCCCGACATGACTTTGCCAGGTCTGCTAACTTTGCAGAGCCACATAAACTGCATTCAGTAGAAGCTTCTGAATGTGGCGCTTCGCGTCCTCCGAGTCAATCGCCAGAAGCGCAGACACATCCTCATCCTCATCACTCCACCGCTCCAATTGATTTATTTAGTGTTGCTATAATAACTGCTTTCACAAAAGGAATCTCTTCGTGTGTGCTGCGAAGCGAGGAAATACAATGGCCGCTTACAACAAAAAATTCTGAGTCAAACGGGCGTGGTTTGCATTCCGCACAGCCAATCAGACGTACGAACTACTTTCTCCCACGAAAGACCCTGCTCTGTGGCAGGGACTGAAAAGCGAGTCTCGCGAACTAAGTTGAGCTACTTTAGTTCCTGGGGCTTTTTGGTGTGAACGCAAATATATCGTGGTTCTGATGAACTATTGTGGGAAAAGTACACCAAAGTACTCCGGTGTGAACGCACCTATAGGGGACTCTTCTCTGGGTTTAGCTCTTGGCTTAGGAGGGCTTTGGAGTGGAGGGTGTCTCGGGGGCTGGATCTAAGGTGGTTAAAGAATGTTAGTGCTCTCTTTTGAGTGTTAATCATCAGTGGGTATCTGCCTCATTCTGCTCTACATGCATTTGTTGGTGTTTTTCTCTGAACACGTAAAATGTATCTGTAGAATTCTGCATGTAAAGACTCTGTTGGATGTTTGTCCCAGCGGGTATAGCTCTGGTGACTGAGTGGACCCCATACTTCACTACCGTACAGCGCAATGGGCTGGATCACACTATCAAAGATTTTAAGCCAGATTTTAATTGGAATTTGGAAATGATAAAATGTTCTCTTCATTGCATTTAGAGCTCTTCTGGCTTTTTCTTTGAGTGCATTCACTGCCATGTTGAAACTTCCTGATGCTGTTATGGTTAAACCAAGGTAGGTATAACTCATACTATGTTCAATGATATGATTATTTATGGTAAACTGGTATTTGTTCTCCTGACATCTGGGGCGTTTTTGGAAAACCATGACATTAGTTTTCTTCATATTGACTGCCAGGGCCCAGTTCTTACAGTACTGGTCTACTATGTCCAGCTGTTGTTGTAGTCCTTGTTCAGTAGGAGACAGCAGAACAAGGTCATCAGCATAAAGCAGACACTTCACCTCTCTATCTAGGAGGGAGAGGCCAGGAGCAGCTCATTGATCCAACTGAACAGCAACTTCATTTATATATACATTCAATAAAGTCGGACTTAAAGTGGACCTATCATGCTATATTTGAATACTATATTGTAGGGCCATACCTATATAAAACATGTCTGCGAAGTTTTTTTTTCAAAATACCAAACAGATCATGCATTTTAGCCATGCCTCATTTCTCTCTATTTGCTCTTTTCCAGCCCTGTTTTTGCAAGGGCTGATTCTGTAAGAAGTCTTCTTTGTTGCTTTTGTGGCAGACTACAGCGCCACTTACAGGCCTGGCATATGTACTACAGCATCTCCAGCGCTTTCGAGCGGCAATGGCCGTGGCCGTTGCCTAACCCCCCATTCCCCTGATCGTGGAGAGTTGCCAGGCGGAGCTCCTTGTTTCTGACGTCAGAGATATTTCAAATCTGTATCAGTCTGTATCAGATCCATTGCAGCCCCGTTTTTAGAGATATGGGTATGGAGGAAAAGAGAGAGGGTTGTGTTTTCTGACACTTGGGGAGTTCCCTGACACACCGGGGACACATATTCATGTATAAAAGACGTACAAAAGTGCATTTTGCATGATAGGTCCCCTTTAAATTGCAACCCTGACGAACACCTCTTCTCTGGGTGAAGAATTCAGTTTGTCTCCAATTTTAACAGCACACTTATTTTCTAAATACATTGATTTAACCAGATCATACATGTTGCCCCCTATACCACAATGTAGAAGTCTAGAGCCCGTCATGCCAAATAGAGTCCAAAGCTTTCTTGAAATCAATGAAACAAGTGAATATCTTACCATTTTGTGTTTGGTGTACATGTTTGAACCTCTTAAGCCCTGAGCCTGTTTTTCAGGTCTCAGGCTCGAAAAGGACATTCCCAGAACAAATGACCATATCTTCCCTTCTAAAAGGGTTAAATTAATAATCTTTATTCTCAAAGTAATGATAAACCTGTGAGTTGGATGTAGAAAAGTCAGAATCAATATAGATGTTTTTTATTTTAAAGAAAATTCAGATTTTACATAATAAAAAACTGTAAATTATAGTGTCCGTCCAAAAAATATTTTGTACTTATAGTGAAAACTACCCTTGGATGATGGGTTAGTAGACTAAAAGCTTTAGGAATCC